TGCAATTAATGCTCACATTCTTTATGTGTCCCTGTGGTGGTGTGTTTGCCCAAGGAATTTATTGGAAGTGATACATTTAATTAAACTCCTTGAAACACTTGGGCAATGATATATTATTTGGTCTATAAGGCGCCGCTTATGGAAAGTGGATGGCGGGACAAAATGATTGTATTTTAACATATTCTTCTGCCTTCAATTCATAGCGGCATTTCGGAGGCAAATAGGACAGAGAACAACGCCTCTCAGAGCAACATTTAGAGGAGCCTTGGGTAAATGGCAGGTTTTTTTCACCCAGTACACTAACTGCATCGATCCATCCATCCATCGCGCTGCTGTTGCTTCACACACCCTGCCATTCATACAAAGGGCCATGAGCTCGTTTTTGTACTGCTTAAGTGGTACATGCATCAACTGAGCGCTTCCACACAACGTTCACACAACCTTCCCACATATGTGCAGTGCTTCACACACAGTCCAGCACAGTCAACTGATACTTCAGTGCTGCTGCTTCTGTCTTCTCCATTCTTTGCAATCCGTGAATGTTCACAAGCACTTCACAAGGCCACATCGTCCGGCCAATGACTGGAAAGAGCTCATCTTAAACAACCAATGTCCAGAGTTCCCAAGCCAATAGCTACCAAGTTTCGAGACTGCAGTCAGCATCTACCTGTTTTTTTATCATTTAATATTGCTTTAATGTTTTCCTATCTATTTTATCTGATTTGTGAAATAAGCAGGCAAGACACCTATTTCATGTGAAACGTCATGCTCTGTGCTTTAATCTGATACATTAAAATTTGATGCCCATATTTTCACACACACTTCAGAGTTGTTCATCCACATGTCCCTTAGAACTTCTTCCAAAACAAGTAAAACAGCTTTAAATAAACTGACTACCTGTGACCAGAACCTTTATCTCTGTTAAGCATTATCATCCAAATGCAAGGGGAATTGCTTATGTAAACTTTCCTCTTCTTTATGGTTTTGTCTGACTACAGTGTAAATGTATAAACAGTACTGTAGGTTTTTTTTCCTTTTTTAATTTACTATAAGTATTCTTTATAATATATGATCATGATGTGGGAAATATGTGCAGAAACAAGCAAATATTAAGCCAAATACAAATGATTTTACTCACAAAAGTAACTTGCAAATTCTTTGTAGGAGCATCCAGAAAGTACTCAGATACAGTCAAGGGCTGTGCATGGGCTCAGTGTGGGTTGTTGATCAACTATGGGCTATCACGTTGTCTGAACCCAGGTGCACTCACAAGCCATGTCTCATTAACCATGAACAACTCATGAAGATAGTCCATGGTTTGTTATTGGGTTGCGAAATATAGGTTGCTAACCATGGCTTATTATCTTGGCTTGGTTTGGACAACATGGTAGTTCACAGTTCAACATTAACCCATATTCAACCTTTATTGTGTCAACTGAACCTGGATATTGTGTCAACAGAACCTGGTCAATTTCTGGGTAGAAAATGGTCTTTCAACCCCAGGCCATTATTTTCCACTGCCATAGTCTCTGAGTTTCATTTATTTATTTCTTTAGAGATGAGCCTGGGTCATCCACTACAGATAATAAGAACACAAGGCATATTCCAGCTTCGCTAGCCTCCCAATACTTGATTTTTAAAGAGAAGAAAAATACAGAAGAGTGACAAAGGAGACAATAGCGAATGAGGATTTATGTGCTGGTTGCAACCCAGCATGGATCCATACATCTTTCCCCGTGTAGGTGTGCCAGCACTTCATCAATCCAAAAAGCTGCACTGACAGCGGGGTTATAAGGTATCCTGCAGCCCCATTAGTTATATTGTCAGCTCATCATGCAGGAATGTCGAAAGTGGGATGTGAAGACGATATTTTTGAGATCCCAGTAGGCAAACCAAAATGATTCCAGACTTTCTGCTGTCTCATTCTTGGTTCTGTAACACTGCTGTTTTAAATGAACAGAGAGAGAGAGAGAGAGAGAGAGAGAGAGAGAGAGAGAGAGAGAGAGAAGCAGAGAGAGAAAGAGAAGGTGATGAGACCATAGTTTCTAAGAATCCAATTATACATTTATTTTTTAAAAACTCCATTCTATCCAATAGATCACATGTATGAGAACCTAAAAATAAGAGTTAAGTCGTATTCCACCCTATTCCCATTCTTTTGTCACTTGATGCAAATACATACCTTCACGCACATCCAGCAGAAGAAAAGTAAGAAGTAGCTGTGGAAGAAGGGAATGGACTGACTGCTGTGATATTTTGCCCCTACTAATACATTGGGTTCAGACAACACAATCCACACTCAAGGGTCATGTGTGAGTTGGCATTAAAATGTGGGTTGTCGATCCATGGGTTGTTGTGTTGTCTGAACAATCAAGCTACAGTTCACAACCCAACAGCAAACCATGGGTTCTCTTCCTGCATTGTTCATGGTTAACAAGCCACAGCTTTTTAGCACAGTTGGGTCTGGACAACATGATAAACCACATTTCAGCAAGAACCCATGTGCAATTCAAGGTCAGCCCTTGAGTGTGAGTTATCTTTAGACACTCCGTCTGCTTCCATGGCTAGGGGGAAACATGCTGGATCAGCATTCCTCAATCTGCTGTCTTTCAGATGTGTTATACTACAATTCCCAAAAGCCTGAGTGGCCATGTTGGCTGGGGCCAATGGGTGTTGCTGCCTGACACGAGGGGAGGGCAACAGGTTGGGAATGCTCCTCTGCTGTCCTGCAAAACAATGAGGAATAAAGCCTTCTGCTGACTCAGATATGGGCGTCCTTATGCAAGGCCCCTGTTTCCATTGCAATGCTACAATATGGTAATTTTGCTTTTTCTGTGCTTTTTTCCTGTTTGTTTTTTCTCTGCAAATTGTATGCCTGTAGCTACACTCTCTGCATTAATAGTAATGGAAAACATTTATATAAATCATCTTGGGCACATATAGATAGGTATAGACTCTAGTCTAGTCTTGTATGAAACAATATGCAATGTTATCATCAAAACATAAAGGGAACCCATCAAATATTAACTACAGATTGATTTAGCTTCATCAGATTTTTTTCTTGATGTTGCACATGAATTATTTACCTTGTAGAGGGGGAGATGAGCTTAAATTATGAAGGAGGTTGAAATGTTAAAGGAATGTTTTAGGGCAGAGGTAGATTAGTATGGTGCTGTGACGCTTCTGAAGGCCTGGGTTCAAACTCAGGCCTTTGCAAGCTCATTCCATCTGTCTCTCACTTGACAAATATTCTTTTAGATCTCCCAAACATCAGAAGATTGAGATCTTTGCATACTGATGGACCCTGATCTAAGCTGGCAGAGCAATATTCAAAAACATATTCTTAAGGACTTCAGATGGCTTTCACAGATGTTTTGGGAATGTGATATTCTTGTTCCAGATTACCTTTTTCAATTATAACCTAGGCGTCTACTTTCCAAAAGAGAGACCCTCAAGTCACAAAGGATCCTAGATACTCAGCCCTTGGGGTTTTTAAGTACCGTCACTCTATCCATCACATGATTGTTCCCAGATCAAACAAAATGTCTAAACAGGTTTCCTCTGGATGAATTGGATTGCAGCCTGCATAATCCCTGGCTGACATGGACAATGGTTGTGAATGATGGGCATTGCAGTCCAATCAGCTTAGAATAATGGAAGTTGCAGTCCAACACACCTGAACACACTAGTTTTGGGAAGGCTGCTTTAATGGCATGATCAGCAACCCAAGGACTACTAAATTAAATACCAGGAATTGGAGGAGCTAGTATTTTAATTGAAACCACATTACCTGGGGAAGAGAATTTTAATGCTTTCCTTCACAGCTGTGATCCTAAGGAACGCTGCACATATGCACACACTTCAAATGGGTGCAGGCAAGACAATGATCTACACACAAGGGTTGAGAGCAGGTGGAGGTCTTGCACCCAGCCTGCTGGAGAGATCCTGCAAGTAGCTGGTTGCCACCATGTGCCCGGAATGCTGGACTAGATGGACCTTCGGTCTGATCCAGCAGACCTTTTCTTACAGTCTTATATTCATCTCAAAACTGAATGCAAAGAGTATCCCATAGCTTCCTGAGATTGCCATCCCAGGAGCCACATGATGTGTTGAATCTTCCCTTTTTCATGTTGTTTTTGTTAGTTGTGAAGTCATGTCCAACCCATTGCGACCCCATGGACAACATTCCTCCAGGCCTTCCTGTCCTCCACCACCCCCCGGAGTCCACTCAAGCTCACACCAACTGCTTCAGCGACTCCATCCAGCCACCTCATCCTCTGCCGTCCCCTTCTTCTTTTCCCATCTATTGTTCCCAGCATTAGGCTCTTCTCCAGGGAGTCTTTCCTTCTCATTAGGTGGCCAAAGTATTTGAGTTTCATCTTCAGTATCTGGCCTTCTAAAGAGCAGTCAGGGTTGATCTCTTCTAGGACTGACTGGTTGGATCGCCTTGCGGTCCAAGGGACTCGCAGGAGTCTTCTCCAGCACCACAATTCAAAGGCCTCAATCCTTTGGTGCTCAGCCTTCCTTATGGTCCCGCTTTCACAGCCATACATTGCAACTGGGAAAACCATAGCCTTGACTATACGCACTTTTGTTGGCAGGGTGATGTCTCTGCTTTTTAGTATGCTGTCTAGATTTGCCATATCTTTCCTCCCCAGGAGCACGCGTCTTTTAATTTCTTGGCTGCAGTCCCCGTCTGTGGTGATCTTGGAGCCCAGAAAATAAAATCTGTCACTACCTCCATTTCTTTCCCATCTATTTTCCAGGGAGTGAGAGGACCGGATGCCATGACCTTAGTTTTCTTAATGTTGAGTTTCAAGCCAACTTTTGCACTCTTCTCCTTCGCCTGCATCAAGAGGCTCTTTAGTTCCTCTTCACTTTCTGCCATGAGAGTGGTATCATTTGCATATCTGAGGTTGTTAATATTTCTCCCAGAAATCTTAATTTCAACTGGTGATTCATCTAGCTCCGCCTTTCTCATGATGTGCTCTGCATATAAGTTAAATAGGCAGGGCGACAGTATACAGCCTTGCCGAACTCCTTTCTCAATTTTGAACCAATCAGTGGTTCCGTGTCCAGTTCTCACTATTGCTTCTTGACCCGCATATAGCTTTCTCAAGAGGCAAATAAGATGGTCTGGTACTCCCATCACTTTAAGAACTTGCCACAATTGGTTGTGATCCACACAATCAAAGGCTTTAGCATAGGCAATGAAGCAGAAGTAGATGTTTTTCTGGAACTCCCTAGCTTTCTCCATGATCCAGCATATGTTGGCAATTTGATCTCTAGTTCCTCTGCCTCTGTGAAATCCTGCCTGTACTTCTGGTAGTTCTTGGTCCACATACTGCTGGAGCCTAGCTCGTAGAATTTTGAGAGTAACTTTGCTAGCATGTGAAATGAGTGCAATGGTGCAGTAGTTTGAACATTCTTTGACATTGCCCTTCTTTGGGATCAGAATGTAAACTGACCTTTTCCAATCCTGTGGCCACTGTTGAGTTTTCCAAATTTGCTGGCATATTGAGTGTAGCACTTTTACTGCATCGTCTTTTAAGATTTTGAATAGCTCAGCTGGAATACTGTCACCTCCAGTAGCTTTGTTGTTGCTCAGACTTCCTAAGGCCCATTTGACTTCACATTCCAGGATGTCTGGATCGAGGTCAGTGACCACCCCATCGTGGTTATCAGGGACGTTAAGCTCTTTCTTGTATAGTTCTGTGTAATCTTGCCACCTCTTCTTAATCTCTTCTGCCTCTGTTAGGTCCCTGCCATTTTGGTCCTTTATCATGCCCATTTTTGCATGAAACATTCCCTTCATATCTCTAATTTTCTTGAAGAGATCTCTGGTCCTCCCTATTCTATTATTTTTCTTCTATTTCTTTGCACTGTTCATTTAAGAAGGCATTCTTATCTCTTCTAGCTTTTCCCTGGAATTCTGTATTCAATTGGGTGTATCTTTCTCCCTTGCCTTTCGCTTCCCTTCTTTTCTCAGCTATTTGTAAAGCTTCCTCAGACAGCCATTTTGCTTTCTTGCATTTCTTTTCTTTTCTTTTCTTTTTTTTTTTTTTTTGGGTGGTTTTAGCTGCTACCTCTTGTACAATGTTGCAAACCTCCGTCCATAGTTCTTCAGGCACTCTGTCTATCAGATCTAATATCTTGAATCTATTTGTCACCTCTACTGTATATTCATCAGGGATATGATTTAGGTCATACCTGAGTGGCCTAGTGCTTTTCCCTACTTTCTTCAATTTAAGCCTAAATTTTTCAACAAGAGGCTCATGATCTGAGCCACAGTCAGCTCCTGGACTAGTTTTTACTGGCTGTATAGAGCTTCTCCATCTTTGGCTGCAGAGCACATAGTCAATCTGATTTCTGTGTTGACCGTCTGGTGATGTCCATGTGTAGAGTCGTCTCTTGGGTTGTTAGAAAAGAGTGTTTGCTATGACTATAGTGTTCTCTTGACAAAATTCTACCAGCCTGTGCCCTGCTTCATTTTGTACTCCAAGGCCAAACTTGCCTGTTATTCCAGTTATCTTTTGGCTTCCTACTTTAGCATTCCTACTTCCTACTTTAGCATGGGATTCCCCATGATGATAAGGACATCATTTTTTGGTGTTAATTCTAGAAGGTGTTGTAGGCCTTCACAGAACTGGTCAACTTCAGCTTCTTCAGCACCAGTGGTCGGGGCATAGACTTGGACTACTGTGATATTGAATGGTTTGGCTTGGATTAGAACTGAGATCATTCTGTCATTTTAGAGATTGCATCCCAGTACTGCTTTTCCTACTCTTTTATTGACTATGAAAGCTACTCCATTTCTTCTGAGGGATTCTTGCCCGCAGTAGTATACCTGATGGTCATCTGAATTAAATTCACCCATTCTGTCCAATTTAGTTTGCTGATTCCCAAGATGTCGATGTTCAGTCTTGTCATCTCTTGTTCGACCACATCCAGCTTGCCTTGATTCATGGAGCTTACATTCCAGGTTCCTATGGAGTATAGATCTTTACAGCATCAGACTTTCCTTTCACCACCAGATACATCTGCAACTGAGTGTCCTTTCGGCTTTGACCCAGTCGCTTCATTCTTTCTGGTGCTACTAGTACTAGCCCTCCACTCTTCCCCAGTGGCATATTGGACACCTTCCGACGTGAGGGGCTCATCTTCCCTTTTTCAAAGAGTCATAGAATAGCAGGGTCAGAAGGAACCAAGCAAGCCATTGGGTGCAACCCTTGGCTGGTGCAGGATGCAAAGTTACTCCATCCCACTTCGGAGGGTGCACTGAGTCACACCTACCCGCTGCCCAAGAGGCAGAGATCTGACCTCGCAAAGCTTCCCAGCTGCTGCAGATAGTTTCATGACACATATATTTCTGGCAGAAAATGACATTGGGAAATGCAAAAGGAGAGATAGTTCTCCACCTTTGTATCTCCCCAACACCAAAGGCTTGCCTTGCCAAGCTGCAGTTCTGCTATGTGCAAATTTATTTATTAATTGCCTTCATTGAAATGCCACCTGTTTCTGTTGTACTCTCAAGACAGTACAATATCACATTTTAAGATACTTATTTTGATATTTATTCAGCAATGCCCTTAATTTTTTGAAAGAGGTACAATTAAACAGTTTAGAATAGCTTGAAAATGTTAATTCCCTAGAATTCAATAAAATATGCAACACTAACAACCCATAAAACAAAAGAACCAGGACCAAATGAAGAGTAAGCATAATACTGGTGATCATAGGTGACCTAATCACACAGAAAGCTCAAATCACTTCATAACAGAAAAATGTTAGTTTCCATAAAAACAAGGAATAAAATATTAATGCTTAAACATTTGGGGAAATAATAAAATAAGTCATTGTCTGGAGTCGGACATGATACAGGTGCCAGGCAAATCTCTCCAGAAAGGGCGTTCCATAACTGGGGAGTCACCACAGAGAAGGCCCTTCCCTCAGCAGGCATCTTCCATACTTTGGCTTGAGGGACACTGAGAGGAAGACCTCCATAAATGATCCTAGAGCTTAGACAGGTACACACAGAAGAGGTGACCCTTTAGGGGCATGATGGACAGAAATGTTCTGGGCTGCAATCCAGCACATCTGGAGGGTACCGGGTTGGAAAGGGACCTTTAGAAACTGAAATCCCAGCTGTGCAGGGTTTCAATGGTCAAACATTTGAATCGAGCCCACAAGTGGCTTGAGAGCCAAGGAAGGAGGAAAATCCTGGCACACAAGTGAATATGAACAATCCAAAAGAGAAAGGAGATTGTCAGGGAAGAGGAAAGTAAGTCCATCCTATTAATACGGTGATTGTTTGAGGCAGTTCTGGTAGAAAAGTCAAATGGCGTTTGTTTCTAGCTAGGCCAATGGAGGAGGCCATGGTATGAGACCCTTCTAGAGGGGTTTTTTTGGGGGGGAGGGGTTGTTTATTTTATTTTATTTTATTTTTGTACTGGGTGGGCAGAAAAAAGATTATGAAGATATGTGACTGCCTTCAGAGCACTGTCCCAACAAAAGACCGCACAGCTGAGTGCCTGGATGTACGTACATTACAAATTGTTAGCTTGCCTTAGATCTTCGTTTTCCTTTCCAACAACAGTTTGCCTAAAGGAAAAAGCTCTATTTTCTTTTTACTTTAAGTGACTAAACGAAAGGGCAATAAAGGCTGATGAAGTGGACATATTTCAAAAGGGGAAACTAGAAAAAGACTATATAAATATTAAGCAGAAATATGAACTGTGCATGAGACGAACCAGGGCACGGTCCTCCAGCCACTTTTTTCTACTTCAAAGAATGAACAATCTACTTGATAATTGGCTTCCAGAATGTGGCCCTTGGAGTTAGCATATAAGGTTTCAGTTATTTTCCTCATATTCCATTTTGCCATTTTTGGAGCATTCAAAGGGACTGTTCATATCACATATTAGCGTTTTAAACAAATACTGTATGTTTTTGGATGTTTCATTAACTTCAAGGTCTTGCAGGCTTTAGATCAGAAGAAAGATCTTTATTCAATTGTTAGTGTACTCTTGACCAATTTCAGTAAAGGAATTGTTCCTATCCCAACACTTCCCGTTCTCCTATAAGATATTTTTCTCCACTAGTCCAATTATTCGTGGTTCAAGAGGGAACATAACCCTGCTTGCTGGGCATCCCCTCAGCATCCTTGGATGCAAAGGAACTTCTGAAAGTAGGCTGTGCATAGATTTCTGCACACATCCGGTCCCAAACCCTGTGCATTCTTGGGTCCTCAGAAGGCCCACACAGAGGCAGCTAAACCCACATCGGCTCTTCTTTCTATGCTCTACTGAATGAGGCCTGGAGATGTAAACAAGGTCAAGTTGAACCAACCACTTGTATGTTCAGCTTTTGCCACTTGTCTAATAGAGGGCTGGGGCCAGGGAATAGTTAATTCCACTCAGAGAAAAATGGTACAGACATTTTGTTTAAAAAAGATGGTGATCAAGCCAGTCCACTCACACATCACTTCATAGTGAAGGTGCTTAAACAAGTGCTTGTCTTTCAGTTCCGGGCACTCGAGAGAAACTGATTTTTGAAATCCATTTAAGTCCCACTTTAAGCAGGGACAGAAGCTGCCTTGGCTACTCTAGAGAACAAACTATGCTGGGTGAGGGACTGATGGAATGCCACCCTGCTGGGTGTTTGAACTGCTCAGCAACCTCTGATACCACTGACCATGAGATTCTTCCAGATGGTCTTTACTCCATTTCTCATTTCTAGGAGCGGGCACTAGGGATTATTGCTGTACCTTGCTGTAGCTATGCCTCCCAACGATTCTTACCCATGATAGCAACATTCACTCAAAACCACTGGGAGAATTGATTCAGGGATATGAGTGGCGATGTCCTTGAACTTTACCATTGAACTCCATTTTGTGTAATATAGGTGAAGCACTTGACATTCTGAACCAATGAATGGGCAAGATAATGGGCTAGATAAGAGCCAAGAAACTGAAACTCAAACCAAAGAAGGCAGGTGGTTCATTTAGCTGTTTGGCTGAGAGGTATTGACCCCGGTTTTGATGGGATAGCACTCCCCTGAAAGAATCAGAGTCATGATTTGGCCACCATCTTGGATCAAGCATTGTCACTCAGGGCACTGGATACCTCGCTGCCACAGAGCACCTACTCTCAGCTTCAGTTGAGGTGCCATCCACAATACTACAGCTGGCAACAGCTACTCATTCTCTAATAACTTCCCATTTTGGATTATTGAAAAGCAGTGTCCATGGTGGAACTGCCTCTCAAATTGGTCCTGAATCTTCAGCTACTCCAGAAGAGGGACTGACCAATACAGCAACACTATGCAAGTTTTGCCATCTGCTCCTTAAAAAGAATAACCCAACACATTCTTGGCGGGGGGGGGGGGGGGGGGATTTGCAAAGCACATGTGTGTCACATTTGGGAACTATCGTAACAACAGAAAGTCCAAATTATCATAATACGTACAAGTGTATGTAGCACCTAGCAATGTTATGCTCTAGTGTTCCATTTGCCTTACTAAAGTAATGCACCTTCCAATATTTCCTTATCTTTTTTCCCCACACAAACAGGAAATTAATACCGGCTGTATTTATAATTAGGTACAGTATCAGTAGTTCTTGTTTTTAAACAATAATTGTTTATTTAATTTACTTATGATTAGGTTTATAATGAAATTTTCCATGATAAGTAAGAAAAGAACAGCTTAAACCATTTTAGGCAATTAAAATGTAACATCCCAAAACATTATTTATTTTTGTGCTTTGCTTATCTTTTCAGTATTAGAAAATGCTTACCGTTACACTTAGCTAAATATTTGCAGTCAAAAGGTTTCTTTATTTTAAAAGGCTCATGGTAATTAAATTGCAGTGTAGGCATTATAATACTGCATGCTCTCATGTTTTCTAACCAGTGTTTGCTGAATGGGTAGGTCAAAAGGATAAATTCATAAATATAAAAAGAGAGAGAGAATAGTTCCACCACAGACCAACACCTGGAATAGCCCTGCTTGTGATAAAGCAGCAGTGCAAAAGCTCAAGCCACGGGACCAAATCTGCCACACCTGCAGTTCTGCTCGAATTCTTCAGGTACTCCAGATCAGCACACCCCCTTTCCTTAGCCCCATTCATGTTCCCCTATGCACAGTTTTCCCCCATAAAAGAAGGCCATTCCCAAGGCTTAGTTTCTGGCAGTAGCAACTTTGAGTTAAAATATATGGGAAATTTGGGTTCTTCTGCCTTTGGCCCGGGCCACCATTAGAATGTGTTTCCAGTTTCCATCTCAGTATTCATTAATTAAGTTAAAGCAATTGGCCATGTTCACACAAGATGTGATGTTGCAATTGCTGAGCCTTCTGGCTTATCAGTAAAGAGCTGTGTATTAATACACACTGCCCAATATTCTTCATGTACACAGGAGTAACCAGGGCTTTTTTTGTCATAGAACGCACCGGAATGGCGTTCTGGCACCTTTTTTTTACAGATTTTTGCATGTGATTGTGAATCGCCCTGTCGGGCGTAGCAGGTCGGCAGCAAAAAGCATTAAAATAGTGCCTGCGGACTGTGTGTGTGTCCACACTGCTTGTGAGGGTGCTGCTCGGCTTGGGACGCTGCTCGGCTTGGGATCGGTCTTGTGGTCGCGCGCTGAGTGCTTACTGCCAGCGGCGACCATTCCGTTTGTGTGTGTGTAGAGTGACTGGCTATGTGCAAAAGGTAAATACGTTCTTTATTTCAAAAAAAGTTGGTGAATTGAAAATCTTTTTTAGTGTAAAAGTGTGACCCCCAAGAGGTGAGTTCCGGCACCTTTTTTTTTTCTACAAAAAAAAGCACTGGGAGTAACTAAAGTAATTAGAATGTACCAGGGCAGAAAAGCTGAGTGCTAAGTCCTAAGCTAGTCACTCGTCTAAGAAGCCTGGATCTGCAGTCCAGCTTCAAAACCTGGTTTCATCAGGCTTGTTAGAGGACTCGTAAGCCAGGAGCTCAGGATACGATTTGGTAGCTAGCTCATTTTCATTCGGTGGCTGAGTGTGAAAACTGTTGTTTCAATTTACCATCGTGCTGCGGATATAGCATTGTTGTAGGGCCCTGTGGGAAGATTGAATGGCTATCTTTCTGCCAGTGCTAATGCAAACAGGCTTGGCATGTGGACACCCCATACAGGTGGGGATCCACACACCAAGGAGCACATCCATCAAAGGAACATAGCATGTTCTCTACAACAAAGCCCAGACTCTCTCTCTCAATGCTCAGAAACTCCTTCACAGGAAAGTAAAGACTGAAAGATTGACAAATATTGTGTCAGCCAAAATATATTCCTAGCATAATTTACTAGCAGGTGGTTTGTATTTTCAAATAACTTGAGACATCTCTTAATATAAATTGTAACTGATAATGTGCCATTATCATGACATTTCAAGAAAGCCATAAACATTTCAGTAATGAGGGAATCAAGATTCACACAGGCCCTGGGTTGTCTGGCCGTTTCATGATGTTGTCAGGAAGAAAATTCAGAGGTTTTGAAATTGATATGATTCTCCCAGTTGACCAAAAGATGTATTTAAAATGGGAGTTAAAAATAGACAATTTACTAAGTAGTAGATTTCCTGGGGGGTAGAACTAAGTTTACAGGAAGTTCTCAGCTCTGTTGTCAAAATTATGCTGAAGCTGTAGGACCTAGTCTAAATTCTATTCCTAGATTATATTTTGGGTACTGTGTATACTTTTGCTCTTTTTAATGTAGTTATTAATTTTTAAAATTAGTATGCCTCTTTATCATCCTGAATAAAATATTCTAAGAACAGTTAACAATAAATATATTAAACATGCACATTTTTAAAAAGATTATATGTTTGGTATTCCACATTTTTGCTTTTTTGTATTTTGATGAAAAGTTTAACTTCTAAAATAAAACTGAAAATTTGCATTTTGCCACATATATTCACGAGACTATCAAATGTTCAGCCCTTTGGGATCATTGGAGACTTGGCCCATCCCTTTAATCAAATAGGCTAATCATTCGGTATGACCACACTTAATTTTCTCACACTTTATCTGTGATGTGGGATAAGCAAAGTAGTCCCACAGGATCAAAAAGACAATTAACAATTAGTAATTGCTTTGTGCATTTGTATTACCTGAATATTTAGAAGCCATTCCTGAAACAGTTACATAAACTGACATCAAGGGATTCTTTTGCCATATGGGTGTGCTGTGCAGCTAAATGAGTTGCCAAAGGCTGCGGTGCGTGTGTGTGTGTGTGTGTGGTGTGTTCCCCTGGCCTAGTTAGTTTTTTACCACCTATCCAGTTGCAAAATCTTCATTATTTATTTCTCTGGATACCATAGGATGGAGAATAGCAGAAGGGGAGACCTACTTGTGTTTGTTGATCAATAGGAGCAAATGGAAGGTTCTGTACAACCAGAGACCCCGAGATTCAGGACCGAATGGATGGGGATAGGAAATCTGGATCCGCCATCTCTCTTCTAGCCCTCGTGTGGGCAGGCTGAATGCTTCGATAGTCTGCAGAGGAGCTGAACTGCATTGCAAGGAGGAATGGTGCAGGCAGCGACACATTTTGCTTTGATTTCCTCAGCCTGCAGTGAGTGCATAATGCTGGCCGGTATCTTGGGTAGAACATGAACTGACAGTCTTCCCATCGTGGGGAAGATGGTGTGGCTTGATCTGATTTTGCAGCTTGCTGCACAGAAAGAGGGTCACCGTGCCAAATGAAATTGAGATGTCCGAAGCCTCTTACTAAAAACGCGTTGGCAGGTGTATGACTAACAGATGCATTCTCTAATAAATTATCACGATATTGTTCACAACATTAGGCTTTCCTGATAGATGATATTGATACAGATCTTTAAACAGATAATTGCAAGAGAACAAAACAGAGTTTAAATGGACAGGAAAACCATGTTTCACAAGCATGGAGAACAGTTCCTTGGAAAATGTATGCATAAGCTGAATTCTTCAAAACTACCTGTAATAATGGCTGCCAATAAACCAAACGAACAGCTGGGCACAGCTGGGTGCCAGTTCGCCGCTCTACGTCTCAAAGTCCAGAACTGACTCCTAGCAGTGCAGGCTCCAGAGTGCCTTACTGGCAAGGCCATGGCAGGAGTGCAAGGCAGGAAAGACACCTGCAAGGTGGAAACTGCCCGAAGCAGTGAGGAAGAGCAGCTCAAGAAGAAATGGAAAGCACAAGGGGAGGGGGGGAGAAGGAGGGAGGAAACCTGAGTTGGTTTATCCCTTCTGTATGGTACATAGCTCCTGCTTTTCTTTGTTAGTCAGTCTCATACTGGTTCCAGCTACATGCACTTGTCTTCCAACAAGAGGAGGCAGTGCTGACAAATGCAATAGGTGGCCCAGGCTGTAGGGTAGGCAGATGTCCTCTTTGACAAAAGGCATTCCTCTCTTTGAGGGGCTGTCCAGTGACCTGGCAGGAGACTTCAGTAGGCACCCAGGAGGTCACCATCCATCACACTCTGATGAGATGTAGCATATTTCTATTTAAATTGTCATAGTTATTTTAAAATATGCAGCCAAATGCATACACTGGCATAGGCACCTTTTCTGTAAGTAGGTGTCCTGTGTTTTGGAGATGCATGTCTTCATGTTTGGCAATTCACAGGTGGCCACCCTACATCAAAAGCAGGTGAAGAAACTTAGTTTATTTCTACCTAGGGATATGTGAGAAATTTGTTCTCTGCCTCTCCCTCTCTCTCATTCTCTATGTGTGTGTGTCTTTTAAAAAGAATGATCAACTTACCATCCCTCAGCCTGAACACAGACCTATAATTTTCCTTTCTAAGCTTGAGATGCATTCTTCCAACAAACAAAACCAAGTGTTTAACAACATTGGAAAAATGCACACAGAAAAATGCATACATTTCCAATATGCATTGTAATATATACATTTCCAACAAGCATGCTTTAATCAGTGGGTATGTGCATACGAAATTTGCAAATTACTGCATTCATTCTGAAAGATGCATATGGTCTCCTAAGAGCGGGGGAAGCACTCATGCAGAGATGAGACCAAACAAGCTTCACCACCAAAAAATGGCAATCTTGGCCACACGAGGGTTGAGAGAGCCATCCATCCCAGGCTGGGCCTACCCTAAAATTAACTCTTCGATGCCTATTGCTTCTCTTTAATCTAGCAATCTTGTGGAAACACTGAGGCATGGCTTCTAGTTTCTTTAAAATAGTTAAGGGCTAGGGAAGCATGCACCCATTTTAGTGTGAAAATGAAAGAGAGGAAATGGCAGTGGGGGCTAGAAGCAGAATCAAGAAATGTCTGTTTTGGGCCAGAGTTCTAACAGAAAGTGCCTTCATTTGGGGAGGGGGCGGAGGGAGGGCGAACTGGCTGGAGTAATAGGGATGTCCCAAGAGATTTCCATGGAAGGAGATTTGGGACCGGGAGGGCAACAAGGATATATGAAATAAAGACGGAGTCTGTGAGGCTGAAGGAAGATTTGGGGCTGGGGTTTTCTGGCAATTTGCAGCGGCTTTGAGGGGGGTGGGTGAAAGAGGTAGCTGATACAGGCTGACATAGCTGACATAATAAAATGGAAAATGTTAATAGCTTGCTTCTGAATATTTTCCTATTCCTGCAGGTTTACTCCTGAGGTTTCTCCATGCCTTATCATTCCTAAGTAGGTGCTTTTGTTATTCGGTTTCTAAATTGTCTAAGGGACTGAGTGCCAAAAATACGCACAGCATGCCTTTGCAAGTGTTGCTCAAAGTGACCTTCAGAGAGGCAGGAGAGAGAGAGAGAGAGAGAGAGAGAGAGAGAGAGAGAGAGAGAGAGAGAGAGAGAGAGAGAGAGAGAGAGAGAGAGAGACCTCATCGAAAAGTGATTTCTGTACCTTGACTCCAGCATCTGCAAACTTTCCGGGTTGCCCTCCTCTTGCAAACTGTCTTCATCTTGCTATCTCTTCTCTTCAGAAGTTCAGGAAGCCATTTTTTCATGTTCTGGTGGTATGAAGGGCAAGAAAATTTGCTCTCTGGTCATGGAATTACTGCTCATGGCCAGAGAGCAAATAAACATGGATCCTTTTGTCTGTGCCTGGATAAAATGATTTAAAGAACAACAGCTGAGCTGGCCCAACAGAGGTTGTTGCCTGGAGCAAGCCGGCCAATGGTGCCCCCTCCTCAAACGACAGCCTGAGTCAAGCTTCACAGCATTCTAGTACTCAAGGCCAGGGGAGTGGTCTCAGCACCTGAGGCAGAAAACCTCAGAAGCACTTGCTGGCAGTCAAAGATGCAATAGCAATTTTGCTGCCCTTTCCAGACACCAAATTCTGCTGCTTGAGGCAGTTGTCTCATCCAGCCTAATGAACAGTGGCCCTAGTGGAGAGTGGGTTTTTTTGTGGCAGGAGAGGTCCCTGGCTTCTACACATGGTTTGGCATAAGCCTTGGCTCCTCATTTTGATTGCCAAGAAGCCCTCGATAGTGCAAAGGCATTCTCACCACACTCCTAGCTGGTGTGATTGTGTGTTCTGGTGTAATCCACCAGGACATGCCCCATTCCGAAGTAGGATTAGAACCAGGAAGAACCAAAAACAGCACGAGTGCTCTGGCTGCAGAGGTGCTGTAAGTGTCAGCAGTGCCACACTGGTCCGTCGCACAAGCACCATCATAATTCCAAATTGTAAGTGTGCAGAAGCTGCCCATGAACTGAGAGGTTGCTTGTGACCATCATGTCCAGCAGCTACGGATAGGCTGTTCGTCCATGGACCTCTCTAGCCCCCTGTTAAAGCAACTAAGGACCAAAAGAGTCCTTTCTCTGCATCTGCCTAGCAGCTACATCTTTTTCTCATGTTTACTCTAGAGTGGTTACAGGGAGCATGATTCAGATCTTAACCTCCTTCTACACCTGCTAAGGTTCCACTTCAAATTGTTCCCCCTGCACTCACTCTTGATTCAAAATTGGGTTGGAAGAAATACAAACTGCTAGGCACAGATTTAAAGTAATGCCTGCTTTGGGCCTGCACCATATGGTGGGTGATTAATGCACAGAATTCACTAACACTGCAGCACACAGGCAGTCAAATCTGTAAATGCGGAAGGTCGAAGGGACATGTGTGCCAGGCCAGTGGAAAGTTTTTAAGGGAAATTATAACCGTGTTGAGATGAACACGATTACAGCCTCCTCGTGATCGGGGACTCCACAAAATCAGGGTACCCGGGTGTATAAGTAACAGATACCTTCAAATGCTAATTTCTGGCAGCAACAACAGAAGAAAACAATTGGTTGCCCTCCTGGAGGCATCTGGCTGGCCCTTGTGAGACACAGAACTGACCTTTTGTCCACTCTGGAAGGACTCTGTTTAGGTTCTGCCTGCAGGCACAGCTGAATAATCGTACTATCCCCCTCCATTAACCTCTTGAACTTTTTCCAGTACCAGTGATACCCAGTGCCTGGGGCTGTCGCCTCAGGGGATAACACAGCACACAGCAGTGGCTGACCCAAGCCTTTTACTGAGGCAGAAGTTGTAATATAACCTTTTATTGAAGTAATTCTAGTAATTAGATACAAGCCTTTACAATCTCAATAAAGATCCATAGTTAATATATTATAGGGTAATTCTAGCAAGAATCAGTTTGTGGGTATCATAACGGTTTGTGGGTATCATAACTTTATGTTGTGAGCCGCCCCGAGGCTTCAGCGAATAGGGCGGCATAGAAATGTTTTAATTAATAAATTAATAAATAAATAAAACGAAAGACTATTTGTTGTGTGGGTCTGCCCCCGGAGCGGGATGGATCCGGAAGGATTCCTGAAGGCCCTGGGGGAGTTTCCGGCTGACAAGACGGGTGCTCCTGTTGAGGCTCTGGTCAAACTGTGGAATGGGGAGATGACCAGGGCTGTGGAAACAATCGCTCCTAAGCGTCCTCTCCCACCAGGCAGAGTCCGCTCTTCCCCTTGGTATACACCTGAATTGAGGGCGATGAAGCAGGTTGGGAGACGGCTAGAGCGTAGGTGGAGGAAATCATGGGATGAATCTGACCGAACACACTTGAGAGCCCACTATCAGGCCTATGCTGTGGCGGTGAGGGCGGCAAAAAAGAGATTTTTTTCTGCTTCCATTGCCTCCTCACAATGCCGTCCGGCGGATCTTTTTCGAGTGGTGCAAGGCCTGGTTCGTCCAGGTCCGAAGGAAGACCTGGTTCCACCCTCAAAGGCCCGCTGTGACGACTTTGCCGGGCATTTCAGGGAGAAAATCGCTCAGATTCATCACGAGATGGATACCACTATTGATTCAGAGGTTTTTGGGGAGACACCAATGCTGCCGTCTGGTCCAGAATTATTGGATGAATTTCAGTTACTGCGGCCCGATGATGTGGACAAGGTGCTTGGACGTGTACGTCCCACCACTTGCCTATTGGACCCTTGCCCGTCTTGGTTAATAAATAATTCCAAGCACGGGATTGGGATCTGGATCTTGGAAGTGGTTAACGCTTCTCTGAGGGAGGGTCAGGTGCCTGCCCCTCTAAAGGAGGCGGTAGTCCGACCGGTCCTGAAGAAGGCGTCACTGGATCCAGAGATGGCCACTAATTATAGACCAGTGGCCAACATCCCGTTTCTGGGCAAGGTGTTAGAGCAAGTGGTGGCGGGACAACTCCAAGCTCTCTTGGACGAAAGTGATTATCTGGACCCATTTCAGTCTGGCTTCAGACCCGGGTACAGTACTGAATCTGCCTTGGTCGCCCTGTACGATGACCTGTGCAGGGAGAAGGACAGGGGGAGTGCATCCCTGTTGGTTCTTTTGGACCTCTCAGCGGCTTTCGATACCATCGACCATGGTATCCTTCTGGATAGGCTTGCGGTATTGGGGGTCGGAGGCACTGCTTTGCAGTGGTTCCGCTGCTATCTCAACGGCCGATTCCAGAAGGTGGTGCTGGGGGACTATGGCTCTGCACCATGGCAGCTATGCCATGGAGTACCGCAGGGGTCCATTTTGTCGCCTTTGCCGTTCAACATTTACATGAAACCGCTGGGAGAGGTCATCAGGAGGTGTGGGCTCTGGAATCATCAGTACGCTGATGATACCCAGCTCTACCTCTCGTTTTCCACCAATCCAGATGAGGCAGTGGCTGTACTGAACTGGTGCCTGGCCGAGGTAATGGGCTGGATGAGGGCCAATAAACTGAAGCTCAATCCAGACAAGACGGAAGTCCTGTTGGTTGGCGGATCGGGCTTCGGAGAGGGTGAATTGAACCTAGTCCTGAATGGGGTTGCACTCCCTCTTAGGGACAAGGTCCGCAGCCTGTGAGTGCTCCTTGACCCGGAGCTTTCACTGGAAGCTCAGGTGACAGCA